AAGCGCCCTACCAGCCTTTGCCGTGTGTATGTTTGCTGTGAGCTAGGCACCATGCTCACAATCCCGGGGAAGAAGCACTGTGAGGGAACTGAGTCACCTAGAAGTTCGGAGACCTGCCAGAGGCCGTGGGGGTGTGCAGATTCGTATCCAAAACTTAGGCTTCAGAAAACAAAGACAGTTGTCTAGGATTAAATGAAATGATCAAGGCCAAGCACTTAACACTGGGATTGCCACAAATCTTGCGCTCAGTGTGGACTGTCTCCTGAAGATGGGGCATCCTCTGGAGAATCCTCTGGCAAGTCCAGCTGGGTGCTGGAAGATAGTAAGGACTTGAAGAAACAAGTGGAAAGCAGGAGAGAGGCCGTTCCTAAGGCGCTTTCCTCATATTTGCCTTGTATCATTACATCTCATCCTATTCAGGCCTGATCTTGTCTCTGGGGCAGGCGGGGGAGTTGTCTTCTCCTTTTTGTTTTTGAGACAGGGTCTTACTGTGCAGCCCTCGCTGTCGTGGGCCTCACAGAGATTCTTCTGCCTCTGCCTCCTGAGTGAGTTAATTCAGATGTTCACCACCATTCCTGGTCTGGGGCAAAGTTTGATTTTAGTCTAGGGGAGCATTTAAAGTGGGCCCACTCGCCGGCGTTGGTGGCTCACGCCTTTAATCCCAGCACTCGGGAGGCAGAGGCAGGCGGATCTCTGTGAGTTCGAGGCCAGCCTGGTCTCCAGAGCGAGTGCCAGGATAGGCTCCAAAGCTACACAGAGAAACCCTGTCTGGAAACCCCCCCTCCCAAAACAAAGGTGGGCCCACTCTCCTAACACCCCTGACACAGGTTCAGCTGTAGAATCCACTCAGGACAGTCTTTTTCTCACCTCACCTCCAGAGACCACTTCCCAAGCACCTTCAGCTTCTACAACAGAGCTGGAAGAGAAGTCTAATGCACCAGGGGACAAAGAGGCACAGCTGTTCCCTCCTGCTAACGTCCTGCCAGCCCGGAGTGAGGCAGCAGAGGTGCAGCCAGTGATTGGGATCAGTCAGCGTGTGAAGATGAACTCCAAAGAGAAAAAAGACCTGGGAACTCTGGGTATGGCTGCCCCACCGCTGCCTTTGTTGGGATTCATCAGATGATGTCATTTGCTGATTGTCTGGGATGTGGCTAATAGGACTTTGTGTCCTGTCCCCCATAGGCTATGTGCTGGGCATTACTATGATGGTGATTATCATTGCCATTGGAATTGGCATCATCATGGGCTACACTTACAAGAGGTGAGTAGTTTCTCTTCCTGGCTCTCTTGGAATAGGGCTAAGGAAGAAACACCATATCAGGTCAACATCTTGGTGTCTTTCAAAAGGAAGTAAGGTCTGAAGGAAGAAAAACGAGCTCAGGAGTTGAGATTTGGCTTTGGTCACTACCAGGTGATCTTTGACAGCCAGGGCAAGGACTTGGATACTGATACCACCCCTCCTCCAAGGCCTCTATCTGTAGCCCAGACTGGCCTTGAAGGAGTAGTCTCAAACTCATAATCTCTTGTCTCCACCTCTTGAGTAGTGGGAGCTATGAGCATATGTCACCATGCTCTGAAGGAAATGGGATTCATTTTGTTGAATTTTAAAATTCTGCTACTAAGATGGGTGTGATAGTGTATACTTGCTATAATCCCAGAACTCAGGGGACTCAGGTGGGGGGCGGTTTACAAGTTTGAAGACTATGTGGCCCTGTCTCAAGAAGAGGAGAAACCCAAACAGGGTTTCTCTGTGTGTAGCCCTGGCTGTGCTAGAACTCACTCTGCTGGCCTCGAACTCACAGAGATCTGCCTGTCTCTGCCTTCTGAGTGCAGCTGCCTGACTAAGAGTTATTTTTATTTTCTTTGCTTGAGTTTTTTGTCTGCAAGTAATGTATGTCTTTGTACCCCATGAGTACTTGGTGCCTAGGGAGGCCAGCCATGGATTTGAATTTCCTGGAGCCGGAGTTAAACACAGTGAGCCATTTCTCCAGCCCTAAAACATGGTCTTTAATCTCAGCAGGCAGGATGTGGATTGTCTCCATTTGTAGGTGCATCTGGATTGCAGAGTGAGACCATGTGTCAAAACAAAACATTCTGCTACTTGTACAGGTTCCTAGCCCCTGGTCTTGCTGTCTCACAGTTGAGGCTTAAATTTCCTCAGTGGGATGTCCTTTAGGCTAAGAAGAGAAAAAAAAAATGATTACCAAAGAAAATACATTTGCTACTCCTTATCACTTATGAAAGTACAAGAGGCTACTTGGGAAGCAGGGACAGACTTGCCGCTGGGCCCCAGGAGGAGGGATGCTTGTTTTGAAAGGCCTCCTGAGAAGCCACATGGGGCAAGTCTCTCATAATCAGTGATGTGTGGTTCTAACAGCCAAAACCATTGACAGGCCCGGTTGTTGAACAAAAACAGGGTATTTGACCTCCAGCCCAAAGGATCAGCTGTATTTCTCTGACCCAAGAAGCCTTCCTATAAAGGAAGTGATATCGTGGGCTGGCTGCATTGTCCAGCAGTGAGAACCATTATCTGAGCCATGACGAAGTGCTTCTCAGCCATCATTTTATAAGCCCAGCGTGTTCTTAGAGGTATTAGGTTCAGCCAAATTAGAGATTGAAAGGGGAAGTGTGGTATAATACCACAGCAACAGCAGGTGCCACCTGCTTCTGCTGCTTCAAACACTTGGCATTCCCCAGCTTCTCTTTTTGTTTTGAGACAGGTTCTCAGGTAGTTCAGAAAGGCCTTGAATTTACTATATGGCAAAAAATGATCTTGAACTTGTTGGTGGTGGTGGTAGAGGAAGTAGAGGTGTTTTTTTTGTTTTTGGAGACAGGGTCTCACTATGTAACTCTGGCTGGCATGGATCTCTCTAGGTAAATTAGCCTTGAATTCACCGACAAGTGCCTGCCTCTGCCTCCAGAGTTCTGGGCTTAAAGACATCAAGCCTGGCTCCTTGCACTTTTTTTTTAATTTTTAAAAAGATTTTTATTTATTTATTATGTATACAACATTCTGCTTCCATGTATATCTGCACACCAGAAGAGGACACCAGATCTCATAATGGATGGTTGCTGGGAATTGAACTCAGGACCTCTGGAAGAGCAGTCAGTGCTCTTAACCTCTGAGCCATCTCTCCTTGTACTTTTAATCCTCCTTCTACCTCCCCCTGAAGTCTGAGATTATGCTCACAGCCACTCTTATGAGACAAATGCTGTTCTTCCCAGTTTTCAAATGAGGAAACTTGAGGCAAGAAAGAATAGGAGTCTTGCCTGTGGTTATACATCCAGAATAAGGTGGAACGAACTGCCAACTGTGTGGCTAGGTAGGTTGCTTTTTGTTAGTACAGAGCATTCCTGTGGGGGCAGATGTGTGTGACAGTTTAGCTCTGTGCATGACACACAGTAAAAGGTTCACAAATAGTCCTATTGTGCTCGACTATAAAATGTGGGTACTTGAGTTATTTACCCTTTCTGGGCCTCAGTTTACTCATAGGTGGGGAAGGAGAGATGATGACTCTGCAGCTCTGATGTTTCTGAAAAGGACACTGTGGACTGTATTAGTTTAAATCCCAGCTCTTCCATTTGCTTGAACAGATGATTTTACTTGTTTCTCTGGTTGTGCATGGATCAGAGAGCAGAGAGGTTCAGAGTCAGGAACTATTGGCCCAAGAGAACATTCTGACTCCCAGACTTAGGTTGTGGTCCACAGAATGACTGTTGACACGCAGGTCCAGGGGCACCTGCTTGCTCATTAAAAAAGTGAAGAAACAGAGTAGTTGCTCTGCCTGAACAAGCCATTGACCTAAACCCTGAAATACTCCCCTTGTCCTCAGCCTCTGACAGCATTTGGCTGCCATCCAATCCGTGTCAGTTTCCAGACCTTCCAGGTGCTTGAAGTAACTGCTCTTAATTCCAAGCTCAGCTGGTGTCCAGTGTAGAAACTAGGTCTTTTTTTCTTTTCGTCATCTTACTTTTTTAGACTGTCATGGGACTGACATGTGACCTTGAGATTACTTTCCTGTAAACTCAGGGGAAGGCACCAGACTGTCACTAACCTCAGACCACCCCTTTCCTTAGCAAACAAGCTCTGAGAACAACCTGTTCAACAGGAAACCACATGCGGGTGAGAAACAAGCTTCGAGCCTCATCTCACCACAGTTAAGGGATAGATGTCAGGCTAGAGCTGGAACGGGAATGCCATTTCAGGCAGCCTTTGCTTGGTGGGATATTTTTCCCCATACATCCAGCCACCCAAAGGTATTGTTAAATATTGTATGTAAGAAGCAGGACAATAATCAGATACAAATCACAATAGCAGCTCCTTGTTTCGTGCCCTCTTGGTAAGTCAGGCCCTGCTGTACCCCTTTCTCTGATCTTGCCCAAGGCTCTTCCTAATGAGGAGCTGAGGCCTAGAAGAGTTAAAGTACCATGTCCTAGGTGGCCAGACCATATGTTGTTGTGTGTGTGAGTATGCGCGAGCATTTCTTGTTTTTTTTTTTTTCTGTTGTTGTTGTTTTGTTTTTTTCTGTGTAGCCCTGGTTGTCCTGGAACTTGCTCTATAGATCAGGCTGACCTTGACCTCACAGAGATCTGCCTCCTGAGTGCTGGAATTTTTTTTTTTTTTCCGAGACATGGTTTCTCTGTGTAGCTTTGGAGCCTATCCTGGTACTCGCTCTGTAGACCAGGTTGGTCTCGAACTCACAGAGACCCACCTGCCTCTGCCTCCCGAGTGCTGGGATTAAAGGCATGTGCCACCACTGCCCAGCCGGCTCTTGTTTTGTTTTGAGATAAGGTCTCACTCTGTAACTGGCTAGGAACTCTCTCTCCTTTTTCTATGTGTGGGTGTTTTGCCTGCATGTATGTCTGCAGTGTATGCATACCTGAAGGGTTGTGAGTTGCCATGTGGTTGCAGGGAATCAAACCTGGCACAGCATGGCCTCTGAAAGAGCAGCAAATGCTGCTGAGCCACCTCTCCTTCCATGACCAGGAATTCTTGGTCTTTTTTTTTTTTTTTAAAGATTTTATTTATTTATTATGTATATAACATTGTACTTCCATGTATATCTGCACACCAGCAGAGGGCACCGAATCTCATAATGGATGGTTGTCAGCCATGTGGTTGCTGGGAATCGAACTCAGGACCTCTAGAAGAGCAGTCAGTGCTCTTAACCTCTAAGCCATCTCTCCAGCCCGGAATTCTTGGTCTTTATGACTCAGCTTCCGTGAGTGCTGGGATTACAGGTACGAAGCAAGAGCCACCATGTCTGGCTGCACAGGAAGATATATCTATATCTGTCAGTTATCTCCAGAAAGTCCATCAAAGCCCAGGAGCTTCATCTAAACTTACTCAGGGCAGTAGGACAAAGAAACTTCTCAGAGAATGACTGAGTTTAGAAAGCAAAAGAAAGGAGATGTTGTTTTGGAATTCCCTCCACTTGTGGATGCCATACACAGGCACATTATTTACCTTTCTGTGTCTCTCTTTACTCACCAGGTAGGGAGGGATATGTGATGCCATATATCCCCCAGCACTGATATTTCTTTAGAGGACACTATTGCTTGGTTTAAATCCTAGCTCTGCTCTTGGCTTAAGACTTCTCTCCCTCCCAGCCCCCTTGTTGGCCTTTTTAGGTGTGAGATGGTAATAGATGGAACATAGATCTCATGAGAATATAATCAGTGTGCTTGGAGCATACAGTTGTGTGCCTGTACGGTAGCCACCATGGGAAACTTGCCCAGAGTAGCAGGGTGGCACAGCATGGCTTCTGATTAGGAAAACAGCAGCAGCTCAGAGTAATCATTGAAGAACCTGCATTGCCTTGAAGAGGTCACTCTTGATTTCATAACCTTGGGGTAGGATGCCGAGGCAGGAAGCAACTCTGCTTGTCACATCTCTTCTCTCTGGCAAGCCCAGCTGGCATATATGGCCCCAGAGCAGTCAGGATAATTGCTGCACGTCTGAACTCAGGCAGGGCCACAGGGCTTGGCCGATGGAGGGAGCTTCCCAGAGCTGGGAAGGGTGGGCAAACACCAGGCTTCCTCCTGAGAGGAAGAGCTAAAGGTGGGGGTAGAAGGGAGGGAACTCAATTCAGCTAGGTCTTTGTCCTAGTAACTTAGGGCACAAGGTGCAGCCAGGCCCTTGGCTGGGGCAGCTCCCTGTCCCTGCTGAGTGCTGTCTTAGCTCTGCAGGGAGCTCTTATTCTCTGATAAAAAGGGAGGGAAACAGTAAGTCAACACCATTTCACCCCCTTGGGAGAGAAGCTGAGTCGATGAATAAGCCTTTGTTCTATCTTGGCTGTCCGACAACAGCCAGATTTATCCCCGCCCCCACGGCAGTGAGAGGGTGCTGGGCTGCCTAATGGTCAGTTTAGCAGGCCTGGCAGCATCAGCAACTTCATCTCCAGAATTCCCAGGCAGGACTCACAGCAGGCTCGTGGGGTCAGGCAATCTTCCAGTCTCCTAAATGGATGAGGCCAATCCAGACCAGTCACTGTGTCTGTTTCCTTTACCTTTGGTTGCTCTTCCAGACCCACTATCCCCATTAATAGAAATTGATTGTACCCCCGTAGACTTCTGTGTGATGAGGCTTAACAGTTATCAGCTGCTCAGCAGGCTACAGACACATGCTTCATAAAGGAGAGTGGAGGAAAGAAAGGCTTCCTCATGTAGGAAATGGACAGTGCTTGTGAAAAGTGTGTGGCATCCATCAAAGGCATAGTTGTGCTTCTCTTCCTGGGTGATAGGACACTTCTGGTACTTTGGTTAGGTATTCCAGAAGTCATGGTTTCTGGCTTGACTTCTTCTTCTAGCCCTCTTGTAGACTTTGAATTCTAGCCTCTGGCAAAAGATATTTGAATGTTTCATTTTTGTAAATCAATGCTCCTTTGGGGAGGAGGATCCCTTACTCAAATTACACCCAGACCTTCCAAATTTTTCTGTACATGAGCAGTCTTGAAGAACATGGCTTTTTATTAAGATTTTATTATGTATACAGTTATTTGCATGCATGCTTGCACACCAGAAGAGGGCACCAGATCTCATTATAGATGGTTTTGAGCCACCATGTGGTTGCTAGGAATTGAACTCGGGTCCTCTGGAAGAGCAGTCAGTGCTCTTAACCTGAGCCATCTCTCCAGCCCGAACATGGCTTTTTATTATTCAGATATGTGTTTCCTTCTGTGGGGCAGCCAGCCACAGCTGATGGATGACTCAGGATGTAAGGGAGGGAATGGTTATTCTAGAGGACCCTGTCTCCACAAACTGTATACCTGTTTTTGCCTGTGGGTGGGCACTCTGGGAGTCTTTTCTGCTGTGGGAATCGATACCCAGTACAGATGCTAATGAAAGAATGGGCTAGGCCTGGGCTTACATGTTGAGAAACTTGGTTGCCCCTGTCTCCCAGGTGCCATAGGAGGATGAACTTACAGACCTCCTGTGACCTTACATTTGGGATCAGATAGTTTGATAGCGGTTTGTTTTCCCTTGTTCTATGCAGCCCTGAGTCCTTTTTGCCTCTGCATGAGTTGGGAATGGTTCAGTTCCAGCCTGGGCTCCCACTTTCCAGGACTAAAGGATGAGAAGGCAGTCTTTAAAACAAACAAAAACTTGTTTTGTGGTGGAGAGGGTATTGCAGGTGTAGAGGTCAGAGGGCAACTTGAGAGATGGGTTCTCTCTTTTGAACTCAGGTCATCAGGCTTGCTGAGCCATCTCACCAACCCAATCAGGCAGTCTTGTAACAGGATGGTCTGGTCCATTTTCTGGACAATTTCATTGGTAACAGATGAAGCTAGGGTAGTTCTTTGGGTCTCTGGGACCCCTGGGCTGAAAACAAAGCCCCACCTTGCTTTGTTTCTTCTACACTATGCCTCACTGAGTCTCATGCAGCAACTACCCCCACCTTACATTAGGGGAGCAGAGACAAGCGCTGGCAGCAATGCCTTGGGCCTGGGCTGGTGTTAGTCCTGGCTTGGTCAGGTAATTCACTGTTACCAGGGTGAACTCCTGCTCAGGCTTTGGGAAGTTAATTGAGCAAAGTCATGATGGAAGCACAATTTGAGTGTTTTCTTTTCCTGACAGGGGAAAGGACCTGAAAGAGCAGCATGAGCAGAAAGCGTGTGAGAGGGAGATGCAGCGAATCACCCTGCCCCTGTCTGCCTTCACCAATCCTGCCTGTGAGATCATGGACGAGAAGACCGTCATTGTACACAGCAACCAGACTCCTGCTGACCCTCAGGAGGCCAGCACCCTCCTTGTGGGCCAGGCTGGCACCCCTGGGGCCTGAGCCCCTGTAGTGGGCAGGTGTCCATGCAGACACTGGTACGGGACAGGCCACCCTCCTGCAGCTGAGAGGAGCTACATTTTGTGTTGTGGTTAAAACCCATCCCATTTTTCTTTTGAGGGGGAGATGTGACTCCTCATGACATAGCAGAAGCAGGTAGCATTGTGGGTGAGTTTGTGGAGCTGGGGGTCCATCACTGCTCCTTTTCTATCCCTCGGAGCAGGATTTGCCTGTGGATAGTGACTGGCACAGTAACTACAGTGGTGCTGTGGCAAATAAGGGCTTCCACATTGCCTGAGCCAGGGAAAGACAGGGCACTTGCCGGCTTCAGTCTCTGCCTTTCCATTTGTCACCTAGGAACTTGAGTGGCGTATACTGTTATTCATAGTTAAGGTCAAACAGATCATGCATGAGGCAGCATTAATTATATATATATATATAGTATTTGGGATGGAAGGTCCTTTCTGAGAACCAGAAATGAATTTGCACAACACTCAGAACGTTGGGCTGCAAATGGGTTCTAGATGAGGGCTGCTGGGTATGCTCCAGCTTGCTGGCAGTGATGTGCCTTGACAACTGTGGGCCAGGTGTGGCCCCAAGGGACTTTTCCTGTTTTGTAAGGAAATAAAAGGAAGAATTGCACTAAACATTCCACTTAGGAAGATACAGAAGGGCCCACTTCTGCCTTCAGCCTCAGCTTTGGGTATCCAGACTATCTCTTCAGGGGTGGATAGAATGTCTCCATTTTGTGCTAAGAGAATAGCCAGCTAACCCATGGGAATTACATGTGTCAGCATCTGGTGAACCTAGGGTAAGCCCAGAGGCTAGGTAACAAAGGCATGGATGGGCTCGCCTTGGCAGTACACCTTGGCTCACAGGCAGCCCAGTGGCCTGTAGGCCTGTGCCTTCCTTGGGGCTAGGATTGCAACCTGTACAAAACAATCACTGAAGCACTGGGGAGGACCTTAAGGGTTTTCAGGTCTTTCAGAAACAGGGTCTCCAGAGAGGGCAAAGTGTCCTGCCCATGATCAAAGCAACTTCTGGATGGCCAGGAGTGTCCCCGCTTCCTAGCCTTGGCAGTATTCCCCAGCCAGGAGCCCCTCTACTGTCCAGCACAGGAGAGGGGTGGGTGGGGTCCATTCCCTTCACCAGGCTGCTCTCTGGAGCCATCTGTTGAGGGGGCCTAGACCTCAGGGTTCCCATGGTAGAATTGACTATGGGAAAGAGAATAGTACTACTTCCTACTTTTCTATGAAAGTATTTCTCTGTGTATATGTTTTATATACCTCATTCTGACTCCAGTGTATGAACTGTGGGAAATTGCTCTGCATTTGACTTATATAAACACAAAACACAATTCTACTTGCTATCTTTTTGTGGTGCTGGGAATGCTCCCCCAGTACCTGTCTATATCTCTGCCTTCTCAATCACTGTGGCCCAGTCACAGGGAGGTAATAATAGTTGACCAAACAGATACAAACTGCAGCCCCCGCCCACATTGATTGTCAAGGTCACCATGAATACCTCAAGGTTGAAGCCATAAGAAGTTGATCCTTAAAGTTTTCTCCCCTTTAGTGTTCTTTTCAAGGTAGAGGAATTAGGATGAACCCTCCCAGCAGCCTTTGTTGTGGGCTAGACTCAAAGGGGCAGGTGGCGGGCAGTTCCATAGCAGCCATAGAAGAAACAGGTAGATAGGCTGCCTGGGACTGAGCATTTTTTTTTTTGAATGTATGAGTGTTTGGCATGTATGCCCGCACACCAGAAGAGGACATCATATCCTATTATAGAAGGTTGTGAGCTACCATATGGCTGCTGGGAATGGAATGCAGGACCTCTGGATGACCAGCCAGTGTTCTTAAACACTGAGCCATCACATTGAGGATGGTTCTTTCAGGTGGTTCCTTGGGTTAGGAGGGAAGCTACTGGGGTGGGTGGTGTGTGGGACATGTTTCTTCAAGTTTTCGCAGTTGTCCTCAGCATCAGGTTAAATTCTCTGTGTATCCATCCAGGGTGAGCTTGTCCATGCTCAGACAATGCTTTAAGTGTTTTGTTTTGTTTTCTCCAGCAGTTCGAACCTCAGATCATTAGTTGTTGAGTAGGGACTAGATTCCTGAGTGTGGATGTGCACGACCTCTGAAGGTTTGCTGTGTCAGGGAGGGGATTAGACTTGAGGCTGAGAGTTCCCCGATGTGAGGACTTAGTAGCTTGGGCCTGAAGGTGGGCAGACGACTGTGTTTCTTTAAAAAAAAATTAAGCAAAATTGATGTAAATGTATGTGTCTGAGAGCACATATGTGTACTACATGTGTGTAGGAGCCCACAGATGTGAGAAAAGGTGCTGAGTACCCTTGGAACTGGAGTTGTGTGTGTTTGTGAGCCATCATATGGGCGTTGGTAACCAAATCTTGGTCCTCTGCAAGAGCAGTTAATTGCTTTTTAATCTCTCCAACTCCTCCAAGTTTATTTAAGTCAGGCCCTAAGTTACTTTTCCACTCTCAGTGTCATCACTATGTTAACTGCTTAATTTATTTAGTCTGCTTCATGGCCCAGCTCAGGCCCACCACTCCCACACTTGCTGGAGACAGCTCAAGTATAACCAGTCACAGGATGCTGAGCCATGCTGGGAGTTCAGGGTTCCCCTACAGCAAGTCTGCAAACTCCACACACAAGTACAGTCTACACAGCAAATAAAGTGGCCAAAGATGGCTTCCCACCCCACAATTTCATCTTGTCTATGTACAATATTTCACATATCACCCAAAAGATAAAAACTAATAACAGCAACCACTCCTGATCCCTTCCCCCACCAGTACAACCCACCACACCTTATATTTATAAACCAAACCCATTCCCAATTTGTTAAATACGGTGTGAGCTCGCACTTAGGAAATGGCAAACCTCGGTGAGCTGGAGAGCCCCTGGACACCTGGTAGCCAGGGGTGGAAGGTGCCCCGAGGGTTTCCAATGCCCATGGCCCTGGAGTGTGGCTCAGGAAGTAAGAGCTGGACCAGCAACAAGGGAGGTAGAATCAAGAGGGCCCAGCTCAAAGAGAGAGCTCTCTTTGTATCTCAGCTTTGGGACTCAGTAGCCACCAATTCCTGTCCCAAGTTGCTGCCTGGACCAGACATACTAAAGATGTGCTGTAGCTGCCACAAGGATGCCAAGAAATTGATGGGACTCCCCTTTCCCTGCTCAGACCCAAAGTCTGAGACAGACCACATTGGCCTCCAGAACCCGTCTAGCATCGGACAATGTCTTGAGCTTCTGACTGAGCCCACCAGCCAGGATATGGGGCTTTTTAAAGGGCAGGACCTTTCTTTCCAGCCCCAGCTTCTTTGGTGCTTTTGTGAGTGACCGCTTGTTGAGACAGGATGTTGAAGTGGAAACTCCCACACTGATGTGGTCCCTAGGCTGGTGAGCAGAAACCAGTCCTTTTTCTGGATCCTGTGGCTTTCACCACATACTAAGAGACTCTTCAAAACCTGCTCCAGAGGGCAGGGCCTGGAGTGGGAGGAGAAATCACCACTGTCATTTCATATGCTTTGAAGGCTCTCAGTTCTGTTACTCACACTACCGCTTGAAGTCCTGCACCTTGCTGGGCCTCTGGAGCCCTCAGGCCAGTTCATTCTGTCATCCTGCCCAGCAGGCCCAGGCTATGTTGATTAGTGTAAAGCTACAGCCTCCCAGAATCTCACTGCCACAAAGGTCCCAAATGGTCCCTAGTAACAGACTCCTGGTCTAGAATCCAGGCTCTTTTTATCTTCTTCACAGCTTTCAGGCGAGTGTTGGATTTACAGACAGTAACCAGGCCCCAGCACCTGTGGAGGACTGTTCCCCTGCACCCGCATGCCTCCTGGGGAGGTAGTAGGGTTGGCTTATTCTGCTTCTAAGCAAGCCGTCAATCCACAGGAAGCCTAGCTAGTCCTGCTCATAGCAAGGACAGGGCGCAGAGGGGGCAATGCTGGCTGCGGAATGTCCCCTTGCGGGGGGATGGACCAGGGCTAGGGTGGTGAGTCCCGGGTCAGGCCGTACTCCACGCTCACAGTGTGGTCCAGTTCTTCCAGCTCTGCTGGCAGTGGGATGGCCAGCTCTCCCAAATACAGGGACAGTGCCTCAAAGGAGTCCTCCAGCTTTGAGAACGCCGGTCTACAGAGAGAAGGGATGATGAAGAGATAGGGGGACTTGAACATGGAAGGGAGGACATAGGGCTGGGTCTCAGCTGTATCCTGGTTCTGTGACCTCAGGCACACCCTTTAACCGCTTACAAAAGGTAACACTGTGATAAGAGAGGTCCTGGCTTAATAACATCCACAGAGAAAAGCCCTTTCGTGTCTTTTTTTTTTTTTTTTTTTTTTTTTTTTTTGAGACAGGGTTTCTTGATACTGCTTTGGAACCTGTCCTGGAACTTACTCTGTAGACCAGGCTGGCCTCAAACTCACGGAGATCCTCCTGCCTCTGCCTCCTAAGTGCTGGAATTAAAGGCGTGCGCCACCAGCGCCCAGCTGCCCTTTCACGCCTTAACAGCACAGGCTACAATCAAAGGTTAAGACTGGACTTTTAATCTGGTTGCTTGTGATGTGGCCCGGATGGTGCAGTGCTTACCTACCATCCACAAAGCTCTGAGTTCAAGTTTCAGCATAGTAACTGGGCATGATGGTGCACACCTATTGTCCTAGCATGTAGCAGGTAGAGGCAAGAGGGTCAGAAGTTCAAGATCATCTTTAATTATGTATCTAATCTGAATCAGTCTGGGCTACTTGAGACACTGTTTCAAACACGAATCTGTAAACAGAAAGATTGTGAGATTCCCCAAAAAGAATATTTGACAGGGATGGGAGAACCCCAGGCCCTTCCTACCCTGTGTTTGGCAAGAGCTCTATCACCAAGCCATACCCTTGGTTCCTGGAGTGGATAGAAAGAGAATGGCTCACATAGGCTAATGTTTGATGGAACTGTTTTAGAAGGATTAGGATGTGTGTCCTTGCTGGGGCAAGTGTGTCACTGGGCTTTGCGGTTTCAAAAGCCTAAGCCAGATGCTGCTTGTGGATGAGATAATGCTCTAGTGCCACACCTGTCTGCTTGCTGTTGCCACACTCCCTTCCGTGGTGACAATGGACTCACCTCCAAGACCATCAGCAACCCCCAGCTAAATGCTTTCATTTATAAGTTGCCTTGGTCATGGTTTTGTCATGGCAACAGAAAAGTAACTAAGATAGCTTCTAAGTCTATTGTTATTACTCAAAGGTAAATGCTTTTTGTGCAGGTCCCATGGTCCTTCTCTAGGTACCTCCTCTTCGTGTGTCAGGGGTGTGCACCCGCCTATTGCGGTACAGGGAATGGAACCCAGAGCACTGGACATTCTAGGCAAATGCTGTACATGGAGTGATAATCCCACTCCTCCCCCTTTAGACAGTGTCTCACTAGACACCTCCGGCTGTCCTGGAACTCGCTATGGACCAGGCTGGCCTTGAATTCACAAAGGTCCGCCTGCTTCTGCCTCCTGAATACCGAGATTTGAGTGCTGGGATTAAACGTGGTGTACTCCACCATGCCCAGCTGGCCTTGAACTTCTGATCCCCCTCCTACTGACTCCCAAGTCCTGGCATAGGAGATGTTTACCACCATGACCAGCTTTACACATTCCTAGGGGCTCATACCTAAGGCTTCATGCATTTCAGCTAAGTACAGTACTAACTGACCCATTTTAACAATTAAAAGCAGTTTTTTTTTTTTTTTGAGATAAAAGTCATGTGATATAAAATGAATCATTTTGTGTTTTTTGAAGGTGTGTGGGAGAGTGGAGCTTGCTAAGGGTGCAACCCAGGACCTGGGACATGGCAGACAAGCCCTCTCTGTCCCCCACAGCTGAGAACTAAACCCATGGCCCCACTCATTCCAGACAAACACTCTTATCATGGACCCATATGCCTAGTCCAGGTCTTTTTTTTTTTTAAACTGCTTTTAATGTTTCTGACTCCATCTTGTCCATCCCCCTGGTGTGGCATGTCAGAGCTGTCAGGTGGCTCCAATTAGTTACCAGCTTACTCTCAAGCTCAACGTTCCTGCCACTACTTGTCCAGGGAAGGGCATGGGATTATCTAAAGCAAGCATCTCAGGATGTTAGGGCTGTGAGATGGGAGGAAAGATGAGACACCAACCTGCTCTCAGGCTCTAGTTTGCAGCAGATAGCAGCCAGGGGGAAGAAGGCTGGGGGGCAGTCTGTTGGGACAAACTTCTCCCAGAAAAGCTTGACATTGAGGCCAAAGTCCAGTGTGCGGGGCAGGCAATCAGGATCAGCATACACCTGCCCAATGATCTGCAGGCAAGAAGACAGTTGGTCAGGAGGGTCCACAGAGGCCGCAGATACATGGTAGGAGAAAGGGGTGCTCTTATAGACAGAGAAGCAGGAGTAGCGAAAACCTACTCTAGAGGGCAGCCTCATGTCCCCATCTCTCTTCATCTGGCTAATCTAGACCTCTCCATGCAATGGGAATCTGGATGCTGAGGAGGGTTTAGAAGAGGCCTCCCTGCAGCAGAAGCAATGTTTGTAATTAGTACCCAAAAGCTGGAAATGTCCATTTATCCCACCCTGCACATGTCCCTTTGTAGCCCTTTGTCCTCTACAAGATGAAGGGCTGGGTTTGATTAATGTCTGAAGCCCTTTGGCATCAGCTTAATTTTCTGTAGATGAAAGATATTCTATTGCTGTCTATCAAAGGAAGAAATTTTGTTAAAAAACTTTCATTATTTTAACCATTGTTTGACTTTACTTTCCCATTCATAACTTTGTAGGCATCACAAATGCTTTCTAATGTGTCTTACTTGACTAAGTGCTTTGAGAGATACTTGACTAAGTGATTGAGAGATACTGCCTAACTACTGATTTATGGCAAACTATTTACTTTTAGGAGAGAAGCCCAGATCTGAGCAGGGAGGGCTGCTAGGGCCTCTGAACCAGAGCTTACCTCACAGAGAACAATCCCAAAAGAGAAGACATCCACGGTCTCATCATAGCTCTTGCCTTGGGGAAGAGAGGAAAGCAGGCTTAAGGTCAAATCTTTTACCCATTCTGCACTGGATCAAGCCAAGCCACAACCAAGAACTAGGGCTAGAACATCCCAAAGGCATCCCAAGATAGGCATTGCTTGGAAGTCATCTTTTCAGTCCTGGGTAGCCTGCCTTAGAGCTTGAAACACACATTACTCAGGATGTAATTGTATGGCATAAAGAACTGCAGCCAGGTTCTGGCTCATCTAGGCTTTGTCCATGAGCCAGCTGTAGGCTCACAAGCAAGCCACTGAAGGGTTGTTTGCAACCATTTTGGAAGCCTGGCAACCCACTGCTTTTCAAGAATGCAGGCCAGCATCCACCAGGGGGCACCGCACTTCATTTCTTGATCTGGAGAGGGTAGGCTACAGCTAGAGAGCACCCAATGGCTTGAGCCCTTAGCTACTGTTTGGAAACAAAAGCTAGTCAGATCTCACCTGATGCCCAGGATGGCATACTGCCACAGCTAAGTTTGGAAAGAAAGAATTTAAGAGGCCTGGTTTGGCCAAGGCTAAAAGATCATCCACCCCCTATCTCTGAGTGTCTGTCCCTATGACAGAGTTCCCCAGCTTATGGTACTCAATTTAAGATATGGCTCCTGTCTTGTCTCTGGCTTTTTTCCCTCCAGGGATTCAGAACTCACCATTCAGCATCTCAGGGGCCATCCAGTAGGGGTTTCCTACCACAGTGTAGCGCTTCTTGCGGTCACTCTTGCGTAAGGTACGTTTCTTGGTGGTTGCCTTCTCTACTGGGGGCCTTTTCCTCTCTTCCACTATAAGACGTGACAGCCCAAAGTCTGCTACCACCACTGTCTTGTCCTGACAGGACAAGGGCAAGGTCAGGACCTGGGAGGACATTCTCTAGCCTGTCCCTGGGGTGTGGGCATAGGTGAGAAAGGCCACTGATGGGGGAGTGAAGTTAGATAGCAAAGGAAGGCCACACAAGAGAGCTCTACAGAGAGGCAATGGCTGGGCCTTCTGGGTGTTTTTCTGTCAGTCTGGTATCTGCCCCCAGCAGAGTCTAAGCTAAAGAGGGAGGAGTCCCAGAGAGGCTGCTCTGGGAGCCTTTAGAGTGCAATTCAGGTAGGTCAGGATTGCTTATGTGTGTCTTCAGCCCTTAGTCTTGTTCTTAAAAAGGACTTATGGTTGCCACAATAGGTTAAGAGAAAAGGTCAGGCAAAGGACTGGGAAGAGCTGGGGAGTAGTCATGTGAAAAGGGGTTAGGATTATTCTATCCCGGCTCATAGGGAAGTCAGCAGGAGACACAACATTGGAACAACTATAACTGAGGGCCATGGGAGTAATGGTGGCCTCAAACTGGCTACTGCACCCTCAGGGTATTGCAGGTGTCAATGTTGTAAAATGGGATCAGCAACTGTTTTAGGGGCCTGTTATAAGGCAAGACTGGGTAATGGGCTAGAGCTCTACATACATAGAGACAAGGGATTCTGCCCCTATTCCCACCCAAACCCCTGACACACTAAGTTAGTGTAAGGGATTGAGTCCAGGGCCTTCTGCCTGCCAGACAAGCAAGCTAATCCTTTCTAATAAAATGATTTCAAGGATTGCTTCTGGGGAGAGGGGGGTAAAATTGTTCCTGCATGTGTGCACGAGTCTGAGAGCTTCCAGAAGATGGGGGTGGGCAAAAGGTACTGGAGGTAGCAGAAACCCTGAAATAGAAGCCCTTAGATGGTGTGTCTGGTCTAAAGCCAGAGGGATGGCCCCAAGCAGCTCAGGCCAACAGTAGGACGTACCAACTTGATGAGACAGTTGTGTGAGTTCAGGTCTCGGTGGATGATGCACATCGAGTGTAAATATGCCTGCAACAGAAGCAGGAGCCGTGGAGTCAGTGAGTCAGACAGACCCTGTTCTCCAGGCCATGCCTGTCCAGCTTCCCCTCCCCCACCAGAGCCATGCTAGCGTCTCCCTGGCCAAGCCTGTTCAGCTTACCATCCCCACCCACAAGCCTTGCTTGGGTCCCAGCACCAGCAGAAAGCCGCCAGCTCCTGCCCAGGTTTCCCCTACAGTCTCCAACTTGACTGGCCTCTGAGCCCCCATCCTCTTTACTGAGATCGAGGCAATCTAAAGTGAGCACCCTCAAACCCACTGTTCCTCCTTCCTCCTGCTCCTCCAGTGTCTGGCTTTCAGCCACTTTGGGTCTTTCCTGTCTGTGATGGGGAAGAAATGACCTCCTGACTCACCTCCCCGGAGACTCCATCTTTCTTCTGTCTACTTTAGGCCCTCCCTCTTCCTGCCCAAATGTTTCTAAACTAGTTTTGCTAGACATTCCCTTGCCACTCTTAGAAGCATTTTCCTTTCTCCTGTCAATGTGGAAGGTGACACTGTTCCCTTCCGTACCCCCCTGTAGTTCTTCCTCACTGTTCTCAGGCCCAGAGAGCTCTTCCTATAGCTGTAACACATGGCCTGGCTGCCTGCCAACCCTTTCCTCAAAGGCTGTCTATACCTCTCCATGCTCCCCTGAGACGCCTGTGTGTTTGAGTTTCCCTCCCAGCCTCCTCAGGGTCAGCCCTTTCAAAGTCTTTTTTTTTTTTTTTTTTTTTTTTTAAGGGTTTTCAAGACAGGGTTTCACTGTGTAGTTCTGGCTATCCTAGAACTCAGTTTGTAGACCAGGCTGGCCTTAAACACAAGAGATCCGTCTGCCTCTGCCTCCCAAGTGCTGGGATTAAAGGCATGTGTCACAACTGCCCAGGACAAAGTCATCTATTCATGTGCTGGGCAAAGTGCTGCCTGTATACCTCTTTTTTCCCACAGCTCTAGCTGCCCCTTCTCTTCAGATAACTAGGTGATCATCCACAAACTCCTGTTTAAGAGATGATGGGAAATTCTGCTGACAGATCAACCTCCACAGGCAACAACTACAGCTCTCCCAAACCTGCCCCTAACCATCACTGTTTGGTAAGAGGCATCACCATTCTAAGGGTCATGAACTACCCGACTGCTATCCTTACAACCTCAACTGCCAACCAGTCTCTCCATTCTGACTCCACCCTGCCTCCCCACTGCCATTAGCTTAATTACACAAACCTGAGATGTTTCAGTGGCTTCCAACCAATTCTCTGCCTAAGGCTTCCTCAACTCCACCCTAACACCTTGACCAAAGCCCAGTTCTGGGCACACCCCCCTTGTCTTTCTGATGACTTACAAAGTATAGAATCCTTAGCTTGACACACACAGCTCCTTACCTGCCTCCAGCCTCCAGCTCCAGCCTCACACTGTGTGAGCCCCCATGTGAGGAACAATGCTAAAATCTCAGGTGGAGGGGTCACACTGACAAGCTCAGGACCCCAACTCTGACCCTTTCTACCTCACTTTCAACTGGAAACAAAGGTTATTGGAGGAATGAACACATTCCCGGGTGGCAACTCTCAACACAGTGCCCGCCTTATGGAAGCATTCATTCCATTAGGACCCATCAGTAGTGAGGGTTACTAGACTCATTCCCATAATACACCCCGTTCATCCTCATCTCTCTTCCCAGGTCTCTGCTGCCGTCATTACTAAAACTTGGGGCCGCTTGGTCAACAGAAACTTCAATCTACTTCTGACTCACTCTTCAGAATTCCTCTAGAACTTGTTTCTTCCTCCTCCTCTTCCTCCTCTTCTAGGCAGTGAGGAACTGTGTTTATTCAAGGGCCCTCAGCACCCCAACACCTCTTTGGCAGCAAGGTCAGGGAACCTTGTGCTATGGTTTGCCTTGTTCATGTCTTGTTTGCTGTTAAAGAGATTTAGACTCCCTTCAGAATAGGATTGCTGGCTGAGAAGCAGTAGCTGGCCAAAATTTCCTTGGCATTGAAAGGAACTCAATAAGCAGCTGCTTGAATGTTCCAGCCCACATGATGGGTATCTGGCTTCCAGAGCAGCCTACAATCCCTGCACCTCACTTTACCCATGTGCGAGGCTTTGGGTATGACTCACCATTCCAGAAGAGATGCCTTTGGCAAACCTGACCTTCTGTTGCCAGGGGAACGGGTCCTGCAGGGTAGGAGAATGTCCATAAGAGATGTCCTCTCCAGCTCATGGTCTGGACTCCAGAGGTCAGCATGTGTGCCATAGAAACCTTCCAGTCCCTCCCAGTATACTCCTTTGAGGGCGAAGCAAGGTCCCTCTGACCTCAAGGTTCCAGGGTAATGGGCACAGGTTTCCCTCTGATAACCCACCAAGGCTCTTCATGACTATGGGATCATGTGCTCACCACATTGCGCAGGAAGTCCTTCAGTGTGCCCCCCTCAATGTACTCTGTCAGCAGATTCAGCTTCTTGTCCTTGTACAGAACACCAATGAACTTGAGCACATTAGGGTGGTCTAGGCTTCGCATCACTTTCACCTGGGGGTGTGGGAGGGGGAGAAGACCATCATACAAATGGAACAGCCTCACAGGTTTTACACATTGGGTCTTGCTTTTCTAGGAGGTGCTCTGGGAAACTAGGGTAAGAGAGTCCAGGAATGAGATAAAGGCCTGTGGTGACAGAGTAGGAAGCGACACCTGGACCACTGGTGTCCCCAACTGCAGCTCCTTAAGGTGGGAGGGGCAGTAGAAACTAGTCGTTGATGGGATGGGGTATCTGTTCTCTGGAGTCCCACTTCAGGGTGTTGGTGGTGATCATAGCAACATGCATTAAACTGGCATGTTCAGACCCATCACCCCCATAACCTGAATGGCATCCTTACAATGGCCTGTACTGTCTTTAGTAAGTGTCTTCTGAACAGATACACTAATTTAGAAGGGACTCCCCAGCCCCACTCATTTTCTTCCTTATTTATTTATTATTAATATTTTTGGTTTTTTGAGACAGGGTTTCTTTGCATAGCATGAGCTGTCCTGGAACTCACTTTGTAGACCAGGCTGGCCTCAAACTCACAGAGATCTGCCTGCCTCTTTAAAGGCATGTGCCACCACCACTACCTGACTTCCTTCCTTCCTTCCTTCCTTCCTTCCTTCCTTCCTTCCTTCCTTCCTTCGATTGAGACAGGGTTTCTCTGAGTAACAGCCCTAGCTGTACTGGAACTAGCTCTGTAGACCAGGCTGGCCTCAAATTCATAGAGATCTGCCTGCCTCTGCCTCCTGAGTGCTGAGATTAAAGGTGTGTATCACTACCACCCAGCAAATTTTTATTTTTAAAAGATTTATTTATTTAATATGCACTGGTATTTTGCCTGTATATACTGTGTGAGGGTGTTGGATCCCCTAGAACTGGAGTTACAGACAGTTGTGAGCTGCCATGCGGGTGCTGGGAATTGAACCTGGGCCCTCTGAAGGATGACTTAACTGCCGAACCATCTCTCCAGCCTCCTCTTTAATTTTTTTTTTTTTTTTAAAAGACAAGGTCTTTCTACACATCTTTGGATTGGAGCTCACTATGTAGACAAGGCTGGCCTTGAACTCAGAGATCTGCCTGCCTCTGAGAGTTCTGGGATTAAAAATGTTCATTACCATACCTGGATCTCCCCTTATGCTTTAAAATAATGGTTGAGGGCTGGGGAGATGGCTCAGAGTTTAACAGCATTGGCTGACCTTACAGATGACCCCGGTTCAATTCCTAGCACCCACTGTCTATAACTCTAGTCCAGTGGGATCTGATGCCCTCCTCTGGTGTGCATACATACATCCAGACAAAACATCCATACATATAAAATAAACAATAATAGTAATAATAATAATAAAAGAGTGAGACAAAAATCAACCTTCAGTTCTTTAAAAAAATAGTGTTTGAAACTAAATTTCTCTTTTTCTCTTCATCCTTTCCCTCCTCAACCACATCCCTGTTCTTTGTCTCTCCCCTCCCCTCTGTCTCAATGGAACCAAAAGCCTTGTGCCTGCTGTCCTGGCACCCCATTACTGAGTCACTTCCTAGCCCAACTGTCATTTATTTATAATTTGTTTTCTGTGTATGACTGTTTTTGCCTTCATATATGTATGTGTACCACGTGCGTGCCTGGTGCTGGAGAATCTCAGTGTGGGCATCAGATCCCCTAGAACTGGAGTCAGGGATAGTTGTGAGCCACCATGTAGGTGCTGAGAACAGAACCCAGGTCCACTGCATGAACAAATGCTCTTAACTGCTGAGCCAACCCTCCAGCCCCTCCCCGCTTTAATTTTCTATTCTGAGACTACGTTGTGTTGCCTAGGCTAGCCTTATACTTCCAATCCTCCTGCCTCAGCCCCCTGGGCAGCTGGAATTACAGAACTAGGCCACCAGGTCTGGCAGCTAAGCTTTCTTTTGCAAAAACAAAACAAAACAAAACAAAAAAAACTTGTTTTAAGTTTCTCCCTTTTGCAACAGAGACAACAAACTTCCCACACTGACATTTCACTTTTATTTTTGAACAGGGTCTTATTGCCACATATGGTCTGGGTTTGCTCTTGGGCTCACATGAGCCTCTTGCTTTGTTGCTATGTGCAGGTCTGATGGAAAGTCCAACCCCATTTCTCACCTCAGTCAGGAAAGTCTTCTGTGTTTCCTCATCGCAACGAATTAACTCCTTCATGACCATCACTTTGCCTGTGGCTTTGTGAGTCACCTACAGGAAGGGCAAGTGTTAACAGTGCAGAGACCAGAGAGTTCTGGAGAACTGTGAAAATCTGTGGGCCGAGGGAGTAGCTCAGTGGTAGAGAACTTGGCTAGCATGCTCAAGGTCCTGGGATTGACCTCCAGCACCAGGGGGAAAAAAAAAGAAAGAAAAAGGGGTGGGGGTGGGGCGGGGTGGGGGGAAAGCAAAGGAAATCTTTGTGGTATCCCCTATTCCTTGGAGGACACACTGAGCCACACCAGACTGCCCAGAAAGCATGTGTAGAGGACAAAGCAGGGGACAAAGGGGACTCAGGAAGGACACGTGTCTTCTCCCCTAGAACGCTGGGCATGCAAAAAGGAAAGCCAGGACTCTAGAAAAGAAGACTGGGTAAGGACAGAAGGGTGCACTGCCAAGCCAAGCAGGGGTTTTGCTCATCTGGCACAGGAGTGAGTCCCCTGGGTTAACCGAGTCTGGGGGCAAGGGTGTCAGTGCCACAGACATGCACCAGGGAGCTGGGTGGGTCAGAGGTGAGCCTTCCAGCCCTGCTATTTGGAAAGCTGAGTTACTAGGCTTACCTGACCCCCCCTCCCAGCTCTCAGCAGAGGAGGAGGAGAAAAAGAGAGAAATGTTAGTTCCTGAGTTCATCAGGGTTGTAGGAGCCTTTAACCTTGTAGCATGCCCAACCCTGGGGCCTATGGGCACCTAACACATCCTCACTGACTGGTGACATGAAAGTCAGGCACGTGAATCTTAACCTGGGTTTCCAGAGCCCGCGCTTACTACAACAGCAATGCTGCTCTTAGGTGGTTGTGTAGGGACAGAAAGGGCACCTCGGACACCATCACTTAGAACCAGGAAGGCCAGTGTCCTATAGGTTTGCAGTGTGGCATTGTAAGGGAAAAAAAAAAAAAAGGTAACAAGGCCAGCAAGATGGCTTAGCAGGCAAAGGAACTTGCTGTACAAGCTTGATGACCAGATTTGGATTCCCAGAACTCAGGTAAAGGTAGGAGGAGAGAGCAGACTCCTCACAGTTGTTCCCTGGTCTCCATATGTGTGCCATGGTACTATGGCATGTATGTCCCTACACAAACATCATATACACAACAAAACATAAAGAAAAAATAAAGGAAGATGGTGGTAGCAGAAAAGTCAGCAGCAGCTGCTACCTGTGCTCACCTTGATGGCCTGCCCAAAGAAGCCCTTCCCCAGGACCTCTCCATGGATCAGATCACAGGGCCGGAAGATCTGCTGTGAGTAGCTGCTGGAACAGCGTAGGGATTCAGAGCGGCTGATGTCACGACTGAGGAGCAGGGGCTCCTTGGGGGAGCTAGGGCCAGGAGACTTGGAGATGCTGTTACTGCGCCTGAGGATGAGGAAAAGATGAGAGCAGGAGAGGCAGTCTTTAGAGACTAGGCAAGACACAACTAGAGGATGCTCAGGTGTATCTGTCATTGCAGAGTTTGTAGTTTAGATGGTATCACTGGGGGAAGGAGGCTCACATCAGACAAATGTGCTATTTGGGAGCTGCAGACAGTATAAATCATAGTAAAAATACATTCAAAATGGGAAATCTGGAGACTAGAGGTAAAGCTTAGTGTTCTGCCTAGCATGTTTGCTGCCCTGGATTCCATACCTAGAACTTCAAAGTGCGTATATATCGATCGACCAAGGAGTTCACATAGACGATTAACTAAAGTCTACTAGCTTACGATACTGCAGACGTAACAGCACTGTAGACAGCAATCCACTCCTGTTTGATTCAAGGTACCATACGGTGACAGAAGGCTCCATCCACAAAAAAGGGCAAATAGCATTTTAGATCCAATTTTGAAAAAATCTGTATCTGCCTATATTGCTTACATTTTAAGTAACGAACACGTGATTTTTATGGCAATAAAGCCACTATATTTGCATTTGCAAAAGCAGCCAGTTATAGTAACAGTAACTGGTGACTTGTTCTTCGACTTGACACTGTAGGCCGACCCTGTCCTGCACTGCCAGCTTGCTTGCCCTTACTCTTCTCTGTGCTGCCTCACACTTACCATGGCCACAGCACACACAAAGTGAGCTGCCTTTTCCTGTGCAAGGCTCTTCAAGTTATCTGAGCAGCTCTCCAGTGCTTTGTCTCTACTAACTCAGTCATGCTGGCCAAGGCCAAGAGGCTGTCAGGAGTGATCAGTGGGGAGGTCGTGTTTCCAACAGAAGCCAGACAACAAGGACCTGACCAATGAAGCTCATCTGGGCAGGGAGTGGAAAACGAATCTGGTTCCTAGTTATTCTAATAGCATGTCACATTTATGGAGTGCTGACCCTGCTACTATACAACCTCATCTCCTTTGCCACTTTTAACTCTTAGAGAGCCAAAGAGACAGATAACTTTTATCGAAACCCCATCACAGATGCAGAAACAGGAAAAGAGATAAAATGAATGTTATGGATATTTCTGCCTGAGAACACAGTACTCCTGACTCTGGTCTTCTAAGTTGCCTACTTGGGGCTCACACACAAGATAACTATTGCCCTCCACAGGCTTTGCCAGCTTTGGGTATGGGGGGTCTTTGTCCCCAAGTCTTAAAACACCTGTGTTTGACAGGGCACAGTTAGTGCCTTTAACCCAGCCCTCAGGAGGCAGAGACAGACAGATCTCTCTGAGCTTGAGGCTAGCCTGGTCTATAGAGTCCCAGCTTAGCCAGGGCTACCATAGTAAGATCCTGTCTCAAAAACAACAAAAGGCTGGGGAGATGGCTCAGTAGTTAAGAGTACTGGCTGCTCTTCTAGAAGACCAGGCTTCAATTTCCAGCACTCACATGGCAGCTCACAACTGCCTGTAACTTCAGTTCCAGGGAACCTGACACCTTCACACAGATACACATGCAGGCAAAACATGAATGCACATGGAATAAAAATAAATTATTAAAACAAAAACTAAACCAACCCCAATAATGCTGCTCCTCCCTATCTGTTTATCTCTTTTCTGAGACAGGGCTTCTCTGGCTGTAGCCCTGGCTGTCTTGGAACTATCTCTGTAGACCAGGCTGGCCTCAAACTCAAAGATCTGCCTACTTCTGCCTCCTGAGTGCTGGGATTAAAGGTGGGTGCCACCACCATCTGGCATTTGCTCATCTCTTTCTTTTCTTTCTTTCTTTCTTTCTTTCTTTCTTTCTTTCTTCCGAGACAGGATTTCTCTGTGTAGCTTTGGAGCCTATCCTGGCACTCGCTCTGTAGACCAGGCTGGTCTCCAACTCACAGCGATCCACCTATCTCTGCCTCCCTAGTGCTGGGATTAAACGTGGGTGCTCATCCTTTCTTCACCATTTTTTTTTTTTTTTAATACTTACTTGGCCCTATTTGTTTTTGTTTCCAGCTATCAGCCCCACATTTCCCCCATGTTGGATTTCAAATATTTTTGACATTACAATTTCCTGTTTAGTTTATTTTTTTGTTTTCCTGAGACAAGAGTTTCTTTGTGAAAGCCTCACCCTCCCTGGGGAGCAGAAATGGGATGGGATAGGGGGACAGTGGGGGGCAGGGGAGAAGGGGAGGGAGAGGGAACTGGGATTGACATGTAAAAGGAAGCTTCTTTCTAATTTAAATTAAAAAAAGAAAAAGAAAAAAACGTTTCTTTGTGCTGCCTTGCCAGTCCTGGAGCTAGCTCTGTAGACCAGGCTGGCCTCAAACTCATATAAATCTACCTGCTTCTGCTTCCTGAGTGCTGGAATTAAAGGTGTGTACCACCACCACCCAGCTCTAACTTGAATTTAATGGCTAGAAACCGATCTTCTGTTTTGGTGTGTGCACCTGTGCACATGTCAGACGGAGAGAGAACGTCTGTGAGCATATATGTAGGTGTGTGCACGCATGCACACTCCTGTACACATGCAGAGGCCAGCAGAGGGCATCACGTGTTCTCACTTTCCACCTTATTCCCTTGAGTGATCTCTCCTTGAATCTGGAGCGGGGCTGGCAGCCAGTAAATCCCATTAATCCTCCTGTTTCCATTCCCCTACAGTGCTGGAGTTTCAGGAATGTATACAGCCATGCATGGCTTTTTACATGGGTACTAGGGATCTAAGTTCTGTCTGCTTAGCAAGCAGTCTGAGCAGTCAGTCCCAGCCTGATCCTCCTCTTTGTTTTGAAACACCATTTTACACTGTAGTCCAGGCTGGCCTTGAACTCATGACAATCTTCCTGCCTCAAAGCCTCTGAGAGCTGAGATTACAGCTCAGAGCAATGCTTTTTTTTTTTGGAGACAGGGTTTCTCTGTGTAGCTTTTGGAGCCTATCCTGGCACTCGCTCTGGAGACCAGGCTGGCCTCGAACTCACAGAGATCCGCCTGCCTCTGCCTCCCAAGTGCTGGGATTAAAGGCATGCGCCACCAACGCCCAGCCGAGCAATGCTTATTTAAAACTTTTTTTTTTTTTTTTTTGAGATAGAGTCTCACTATGTAACCCCAACTAGTGTACACTTACGATTCTCCTGCCTCAGCCTTCCATATGCTGGGATTACAGAAATGCACTACCACACCAACCTTTGGACTCTCTGATTTCTAAGGAAACCTAGTAGACAGTTTCTATGCGTACACAGAAACCCTGTCTATGACCTGTGAATCCCACAGGGTAGCTGGGCCAGCACAAGTCTCAGATCCTTCCCTGGCCTGCTGGTTCCCTAATGCTGCTGGCCTCCAAAAGCCAGCATAGTCTCTGCAAGATAAGACAATAAACAGGACAGGCGGGACAGTAGCAGCACCTCAGAGAACGTCTCCTCAGTGTCCCCTCCTGATTCTCCTTGGTGTCCAGGGTGCTGAGTGTGTGAGAGTGTCCAGTACTCTGCATGTGGGGAGAAAGCCGGGTATCTAGCCGCAGCTGGTCCAGGCGCTGGGGGACAGGGTCATGTTCGATCAGCAGCTGAAGGGTCTGGCTTGTCTGGTTAATCGCATCCTCCACCTATGGCCAACAGCAGTGTAAGGTTGGTCTCTACAACCTGGCCTTCCCCAGGCTACCTACTGCCCACCCAAACAGTCTTAAAAGCACCGTGTAGCCAATGCTCAGTTTGGTGAGTGGTGGCCTCTAGCTGCCCCTGGTTAGCATCTTGTCACCTCCCCACCTATCAGCCCATTTCTACTCCCCTGGAAATCTATTAGGTGGACCCAGAAGGTCACTATAGTTGTCACAGGCTCAATGCTAAGATGGGCTGGCATAGGAAAAAATAAAGGGCACAGCCAGCTCTTCTAGGAGGCCTGTTCTATGTACCACCCCCTCACAAGACACACTGGACACAAACTGTGTACCTCCTCTACTTGGAGAGTGCGGACAGGGGTCCCATTGATCTCCAGGATGCGGTCCCCAGGGTGGATGGCATTTCGGTTATTGGGACTGATGTGCATCCGGTTGACCCTAAAGATGGGTTGGAGTTAAGGCAGGGTAAAAGCTCACCTGACCACTTGTACCAAGTCCCAGGCTGTCATAACTCTCAGGACACCCAAATGAAAACACAGTACCCATCCCAGAATGCTTCCTCTCAATGATGGACACTGTCACTTACCTCTTAGCCTAAGCCAGAAACCTGGACATTGTCCCCATTTGGAGTTCCCTCAAATCCCTCCCTTCTTTCCCCAACCCCCACCCACTTCTGAGAATCCTGCCTTCTCTCCATCACCATAGTTACCAACATCTCTCTCCTCGATCACTGTAGGGACCTCTTAGGCCTTTCCTCTTTCCTCTCCAACCTCCACACCAGTGATCCTTCCAAATGTCAATCTGGCTGTATTATCTTGCTGCTTAAAGACCTTCATGGATCTACCAGACTTTCACAGTCAAGGCCCTCCATGATTAACAGCCACTTGGGCTACTCTCTCAACTTATACACTAAACAGTCCCTGACACCTACCTCTGGAGATAATTAGTCTCCCTCTGCCATGAATACAATTCCCTCTTTTTTATTTAATGAAGCTACAGAACAGCTCTCATCTTTCCCTGATGTCAACCCTAGTAATCGCTCACTTACACTGTAAGATCTAGCCTCAGTCAGTATAGACAGGGCTCTCTCTCCTTCTCCATCAGCCATCATGAGGTGAGCAGCTTTGCCACACACTCCCTGCCATGATGCTTGACCTCAACACAGACCCACAGGCAAAACGAAGCTGGGTATTACATGGACACTGTCTCTCCTCTGATCTTTGGATGAGACCCAGGGAAGGATCTTATTCTCTTTGGGGTCATAGACCCCATTTTCTTCATCCTCCATTCATATATGCAACCAATAAAAAAACAACCAGTGATTTATTAACAGCAGGCCCTCAAACTCAGCACTGAACAAGACAAAGCAAGCTCTTTTTGGAGTTTATGTTGGAGCAGTCTCTTAGGGTTTCTACTGCTGTGAAGAGACACCATGACCATGGCAACTCTTTTTTTGTTTTTGTTTTTGTTTTTTTGAGACAGGGTTTCTCTGTGGCTTTGGAGGCTGGTGTCCTGGAACTAACTCTTATAGACCAGGCTGGTCTTGAACTCACAGAGATCCTCTGCCTCTGCCTCCCGAGTGCTGGGATTAAAGGCGTGCGCCACCAACGCCCGGCCCACAGCAACTCTTATAAAGAAAACATTTAATTGATGGGGCCTCACTTACAGTTCAGAAGTTTAGTCCATTATCATCATGGCAGGAAGCATGGCAACACATACTCAGACATGGTAGTAGAGAGGTAGCCAAGAGTTCTATATCTGGATCAGCAGGCAGAAGGAAGAGAGAGAGAGACTAGGCCTGGCTTGAGCTTCTGAAACCTCAAAGCCCATCCCCAATTTCCTCCCACAAGGCCACCCTTCCTAATGCCACTCCCTAAACATTCCAACTATCACAATTAGGGAGGACAGATGGCAATCAAGCTGATACACATCCATCAAGCCAGATAATTTCAACAGGCAAACATGATCTGAAGCCTGATACTTGTCAGCTGAGACAGCAGCCTTAGGTATTTGGAAGGAAGCAACACAGGCAGAAGAAAGTGCTAAGGTCAGGAGAGAGGTGGCAGTGAGGATGGAGGGAACTCCGTGAGTTCTGAGCCCCATGAGGATTACCAGTGGACTCGAACCATGAGCCTCTGCTGCAAGGCTCTCAAAACACTTACTCTTTCACTTGCACGTTGGTGGCATAGTTAGAAGAGGCACTTTCCACGGACACGGAGAAACCACGTCTGCACTCGGTGGTGGCTGGCATGGAGATGAGCGTGACAGAATAGGGCAACTGGTCCTGGACAGACTCCGTAGACAGCTTTTCAAACATGGGTGCCAGCACCACCTCATTGTGGCACTTCCCACTGGGGAGAGGGGCACAAAGGGAGCTGAAATCCTGCAGGCCAACCTGCAAGTCCCCAGCAACCACTGTATCACGTGGCTTGAAGCAACATTCCCAGTCTCACCACTATTCTCTTTGCTATGAGTCTTGATGGCTGTTCAGTATTCTCTCTGCTGCTGTCCCAACTTGTCACCCAAGAGAATACTGGGAGGAACCCTGGCCTGGAGGTAAGATGGGCTGGGTTTTCTTGCTCTGCTTGACTCACAGTAAGAATCTTGTCCTAGACTCTTGATTCCTCCCAGGGCCCCAGCAAACTTCTTCTTTTTTTTTTTTTTTTTTTTTTTTTTTTTTTTTTTTTTTTTGGTTTTTTGAGAGAGGGTTTTTCTGTGTAGCTTTGGGGCCTATCCTGGCACTCGCTCTGGAGCCCAGGCTGGCATCGAACTCACAGAGATCCGCCTGTCTCTGCCTCCCGAGTGCTGTGGTTAAAGGCGTACGCCACAAACGCCCGGCATCAAACTTCTTTTGTTATCCAAGACAGTTGGATAAAGAGAGATGGGTGAACTCTGGAGTCTTTCCTTTAATGTGAGGCTGCTCCTAAGAGGGCACTTCCTAGCTATTTTCTCCCTCTAGCAGGATTCCAGGACAGAGTGAAGTCATGTGACAGGTCAGGATGGAGGGCAGAGTGACCCCAGCCAATCGCCTTCATCCAGCTCCTGTGCTCCTGTCCCACTTTCCTGGCTGCTATTACTGGGGAGGACACCTGGGGACATCTTACCAGTAGAGTGTAGCATGCTGCACCAGGGCATATGCATCCCCATCCTCAATGATCACCTTGCAACTCATGCAGGCAAAGCACTCTGGGTGGTATTTAAACTCCCCAGCCACCTGTGAGCAGAGGGGAAGAGCACAGAAGGAAGAAGAAGTGAGCTATCACTTTTATTGGAGTGGACGGATTAGTGGTGGTGAGCGGCCTCCATCAGGGATGTGCTGACAGCAGCCACCAAAATCAACTCTTTCCAAGTAAGGATCTGCAGATCCCAGTCAAGATCCAGGCTTTCAGTTGCTGCACTAGAGCTCCTGTGGAAGTGACAGGTGGATGTCTCCTGCTGTTTCTGACACTACAAAGAACTGCTGGCCTTGGTCACAAGAACATGTCCCCTGAGGTAGTCACTCCGGCTGCGAAGGCTCACCATTCCTCCAACACAGGGCTGGCAAGTCTGTCTTTTGATTGAACCACATTGCATAGGATAGTTGTAGGCAGCAGAACCTCTCTCTCCCAGCCCACTCTGCCAGCCCTCTGATTAACTGATCAGAACCTGGGTACATCCTCTTCTCAACCTGTCACCCTGTCCTTTAAGGCTTGCACCTCACTCCTGTCTACCCGACCACTCCCAGAAGTGTATTGCAAAGTCTGAGGATATAATAGACATTATACGGCTAAGCTGCCATGTGTGGGTTGAGCTCACTGAGAAACTGGCTCTGGAAGTGGGGCTGCCTGCCTGCTCCCATTTCAGACCTAAGCATATTTGTCTCCAAGTGTCTTCCAAGATCCCTTGGCTGGAGATGGGCTTGCTCCCCTCGCTCTGACTTGTGGGGCGAGGGGGGGGGTTGGCAACAGAGCTCAAGGACAAGACTATCCTGAGAACAGAAGGTTAAATCACTCAACAGAGGTTACTGCTGTTATTTCTCGGTATATGATGCAGAAGGATTTTTATAGAGCAGTTGGAAGTTCCCTGGGGTGCCTATCTATGGAAAGAAAGCTCAATCTAGAACGCTGACTTCTTCCAGTTTCTGCTGGATGTTGTACACACCTTTCTGTTATTTGTTCTTTTCTTGGAAGCTGAGGGGATGCTCTGCTCTGGCCAGGAGCCTCTAATCACTGAGGAGTGTCATTTAGGAACTGTAGCTGGCTCTCACTGAGTCCCAATCATTCTGCTGGGTGTTTGTGAGCCTCTGATTTGATGAGGCCACTCCAGTGGTGTCTGCTAGGAGTTAAGATGCCTGATATGATTGTTTGCTGTGGATCTGCTACATCCTGCCAGCTGCCACACTACTCACGCATTTACTTTTGCTTGCCATATACTTAATAAACTCACTCACTAGAAGCCAAGCATGGCCAACACAGACCACGGAAGAACAGAGGGAAGGCAAATCCAGCTTTTAAGAAGGGCTTAACAGGCACTTGTAGTTGAAGGAATGATAAAGGACAGACCCTTGCTGATGAAAAGCCCAAATGATGACTGACCACCGGGGACTGGGAGGGGTGAAGGCAGGGGCTCACTCACCATGGCAGGCCCTGTCATAAGCAGAGAGCACCCGTGGCAGAATTCTCCAAACTTGGCCCAGTAATCCTTGTGGCAATAGAGTTTTCCATCCTTCTCATAGTACCAGTTGGTGAGGGACTCCTGGCATTCTGAACACCTGCAGGGCCAAAAAAGAAACGCTACTGGGTCCCCAGAACAATCCACAGCTGGTCCTTGGCTCCCACTTCAATGACAACATGGGCACTCCTCTCCTCTTTCAAAGACTGGATGGGGGAAAGCTCAATGTCCTCCTGAGGAAAACTGCTTCAGAGCTGTAGATCGAACATGGCTCCAGATCCCGCTGTGCTGAGTTGCCTGCCCCTGTGAGCAGATGCTTTGGGTCCAGGAATCCTGTGAGCAGCTGTGAAGACCAAAGAACCCTCCCCTAGAAAAATGCACACAGTTCAGGTGTGGGGCGTGTGGGTATCCCTCAAGTCCACACACGGCCCAGTTAAGAACCTTTGATCACCGGGTGGTGAATCTCTGAGTTTGAGGCCAGCCTGGTCTACAGAGTAAGATCCAGGACCAGCTAGGGCTACACAGAGAAACCTTGTCTCAAAAACAAAAGCAAATAAAGAATCTTTAGAGGCTGGAAAGATGGCTCAGTAGTTTAGAGCACTGGCTGCTCTTCCAGAGGAGCTGAGTTTAATTCCCAGCACCCACATGGCGGCTCACAACTGTCTGTAACTTCACTCCCAGGGGATCTGATACCTTCACTCAAGACATACATGAAGGCAAAACACCAATGCACATAAAATAAGAATAAATCATTTAAAAAAGAAGCTTTAATCTAGATAGATGTTTCAATGACCAACAAAATTTCAACCAACCCCAACTTCAAAACCAAGTCACATGACTCTGCTCTTTGTTTATTTTTCAAGACAGGGTTTCTCTGTGTAACAGCTCTGTCCTGGAACTCACTTTGTAGACCAGGCTGGCTTCGGACTCAAGAGATCTGCCTGCCTCTGCTTCCTGAGTGCTGGGATTAAAGTTGCCTGGCGATGGAAGGAAGGAGCTAAACACAAAAAAGTTTGTCACCAGGCTCAGCACTGACAGCATGTACTGCTCTTGCAAAGAGCAGTATGCCAGGGGCTCACAATTGCTCATCACCTCAGCAGTGGGAGGTCCGACACCTCTGGCCTGTAAGAGCACCACCTGCACTCACGTGTACATGCCTACACACTGATACACACCGTATAAACCGAGGACACAATGGCTCCAAGGCAGGGTTGAGGGGAAGGTTTTGTCATATGAGATATGAGGGAGAGTGTACAGCCAGAGGCATCTGGAACAGTCCAGGGCAGACAGTCAAAGTACTAAATTGAACATGGCCAGCAGACTGGACATGGTCATGAGGAGAGAGATGGGGAGATCAAGAGAAGACGACAGACTATGGGCAAATGAGACCAAGAGAGAGGGGAAGAGAAGGACAAAGGAAAACATAGCTAAAATCAGGGTTCTAAGGGGATGAGAAGCTAGGGGAGGGAAACCCAGGAGCTGGAGTTTAGGGGAGGGGTGAGAGAGTACAGCTGAGAAGAGCCAAAGGTAGTTAGTTGTGATACTGAGTGAGCCTGGAGACCAGTGGGCTTTGGCATGCCATTGGGCACCACAGTTAGCCATTTATCCACAGTTTCTTTTGGATTGAATACATATACATTAAAATTAAAATAATTAAAATATTTCTTTTATGTGCATGTTTTGTCTACATGTCCATATGCATGCCCAGTGCCTAAGACTGTTATCAGACCCCCTAGAGCTGCAGTCAAGAGTGCTGGGAGCTGAACCCAGGTCCTCTGCAAGAGCAACAAGTGCTTTTAACCACTGAGCTGTCTTTCAAGCCCCAATAAAACAAAATCCAAACAAACAAACAAACAATTAAAAAACAAACAAAAAAACAAAACTTCATCTGGCTTGGTATTGGCGGTGCACACCTTTAATCCCAGCACGCACCTGTTCTCCACAGATAGTTCTAGGACTGCCAGGGCTACACAGAGACTATGTCTCAAAAGCAATATATATTTTTTAAAAATTTTCATACAAACATACATTGTATATACAAGCAGATTCCATGACTTCCCACACATGGTTTTATGAGGGGCTCAGATTGAGCCCAGAGCTTCATGAGTCCCAGGCAATCACTCTACACCAGTTCGGCAGAAACAGTAGCTTACAACTATTTATTGTGTTCATAAACATGGTGAGTGTGTGCACACACACGAGCTGCTCAGAAGACAGCTCTGTGGAGTTGTTTATCTCCTTCCACCTCTGTGTTCCAGGGACTGAAATCTGGTCAGGAGGCCTTTACCCATTGAGTTATTCTACTGGCCCTCAGCAGAGATTTTTTTTTTAAATTAATTTTCGTCAGGAATGTTCACAATAGAACATTCCTTTAATCCCAGCACTTGAGAGACTGAGGCAGGATTAGATCTCTGTGAGTGTGAGACCTATATATGAGCTCCAGGAAGGCCATATGGTGAGGTCCTGTCTTTAAAATAATAATGATAATTCTTTCTTTCTTTTTTTCCCTTTTCTGAGACAAGATCACAAAAGCACAGTGCAGCGCCAGCGCAGACTCCAACTCCCGATTCTTCTGCCTCTACCTTCCTGCATTAACAAGCTAGGCCACCACACCTTGACTATTATCATTAATATTTTCTTTCTCTTCACTTTCATGAGACACTTCTATTATTTCTCACTATGTTGGTTAAACTGGCCTCAAACTACTTGACAAGATTTGAAAAACAAACAAACAAACAAACAAAAAAAGCCCATTTGATTGGAGCTGTAAATTTCAGAATAGAGAACACACAGACTTTTTTTTTGAGCCAGGGTTTCTCTGTGTAGCCCTGGCTATCCTGGAACTCACTCTATAGACCAGGCTGGCCTCAAACTCAGAGATCTGCCTGCCCCAATTCCTGAGTGCTGGGATTATAGGAATGTGCCACCACTGCCCGGCTACGATTTTAATATTGTAATTATCCAGAGTTGTTTTTTTTCTTTTCTTGACAATTTAAGGCTTTTTTCAAGTTTATTATACCTTTTTTCATTTAAATGTGTAGACACTATATATAGATTTATTCATTTTGTGTGTGTTTGCCTTGATGTGTGCCTGTGTACCATGTGTGAGCCTGTGTACCATGTGTGTGTGCCTAGTACTTGTGGAAATGAGAAGGTATCAGATCTCCTGGAAGCAGCCAAGTGGTACTAGGACCTGAAACCTGGTCCTCCGCAAAAGCAAGAAATGCTGAGCCATCATTCCAGCTCCCATAAAGAGCTTTAAAAAAACAAACAAAAAAGACCCTCTAGTGTGATTTTATACTGATATGTGAGCTGCTTAACAAAGTCCGTAATAACAGATGTGTTTTCTATTGAGCTTGCAAAAGTCAGAATAAAAAGGGGGCGTGGCTTGAAAAAGTCTAGGTAGATACAGTAAACCAACACCTCAACCTTTGGATTCAACTAGAGGTTGAAAATGGAAATTACCATGAGCAATAATTTTGATAACAATCAGTCAATTTTTAATTAAGATTACAATTAGATCATATGATGAAATCTGTCAATTTCTTCCTTCCTTTCTTTTTTTTTTTTTTAAAGATAGAGTCTCACTATGTAGCTCTGGCTGTCCTGGAACTCTCTCTGTAGACCAGGCTGGCCTTGAACTTACAGAGAACCACCTGCCTTGGCCTCTTGAGTGCTGGGATCAAAGGTGAAATTAGTTCATTTTCTTAGCCTTAGGAGTAATAGCTGTCACCTGGACTAGTTCAGTCAGTGCTGTGTGTTCTCAGTCTGTGTCTGCACTGGTAACCCCCCATCTCCCTTCTGAGCCTCCCACCACACAGCTCGGAGCCAGCCCCCTAGCCACCAGACAACATACTTCCTTTCTTTCTGTTAGACTCTTCTTTAGTAAGAGCTGAGTAATATAGTAAGACCTGAGATGGGTCTTACTATATTGCCTAGCCTGGTTCTGGGCCCAAGAAATCTTTCTGCCTAAACCTCTCAAGTAGCTGGGACTGTAGGCACCCACAACTGTGTGGATAGACTGCTGGGCAGTGGTGGCACACACCCTTAATCCCAGCACTAGGGAGGCATAGGCAGTCAGAGTTCAGTGAATTAGGGGCCAGGCTGGTCTACAAATCTGAGTTCCAGGACAGGCAGGGCTACACAGAGAAACCCTGTCTCAAAGGGCAAAAAATAAAAATTGAAAAAAAAAAAAGTGGCAAAGGCTTTATCTTCCCTACACTGGCTACACATTCTTGCTTCTTAGAGGTCACATGCTGCAGACCCTTGGTAGGGCTCCTAGCCCTGCCACTTACTAATTACTTTTCTAATCAGTTCCTCACCTATAAATAGACTGCTGTGAAAATGAGACAACATGTATAAACACACAGACAGCTTATATAAAAGGTCCAGTACAGCAGGGACAGAACAAACTCTGAAATTAAAGGTGGTGGCTCTTGTCATTGAACAGTCACTGTACTAGTTAGGTAGCTTTTAACAACTTTTGTTTATTTTTATTTTTATCGAGACAGTCTTTCTATGTACTCCTGGCTGTTCTGGAACTTACTATGCAGTCCAGGCTGGCTTTCAACTCAGAGATTCCACTACCTCTGGCTCCTGAGTACTGGGACTAAAGGGGTGCGCCACCACTGCCCAGTCAGGAATCGGAAGTTTGATATAAAATTGTGTCTCCTAGAAATGTTGAGAAGTTACTTGAGGTCCCCATCTCAGAACTACCATCTGCCACCTACCTGACCTTGGGCTAGCCCCTTTGTTTTTCCCTTGTCATATAGTACCATGGCCACCAGCACTCAGTGGCTGACTGTGAGTGAGGCATCTACCAGGGAGCCAGTACTAGAAGCAAGGGCTTCCTTCTTGCCTTCCTGCCTCCTGACTTAAATGTTCTTGTAAGCCTCCTTCTCTTTCATCAGATTGTGAAGTCCTTGAGAAGAGAGGCAGGGTCCTATTCCCTCTTGGTACACACACTCAGCATCCAGGCCGAGGACTAGGCAGAGTAGGCCTTCAGCAAATGTTTTCAAACTGAAAATGGTGCATGCCAGGAGCCAAGGTGGGAGTACAAAGACTCCACGACATCAGACCTGTCCTTCTCTGTCTACTGTACTGAAAGGCTGGTGCGGGCATATTTGTACCCAACAGCAGGCCTGGGCTCTGTGACACCCTCACAATGGTATGTGCGCCACCTCAGGACATGGGAGCACCAGAACACACCCTCCTTTCTACTGCCAATATCCTGCTTTTGTTCACTGCAAGTAGCTCTTGCCAGGCAAGGGAACAGGCAGAGAAACTTGTGTAGGCATGCAGTAGACAGCCACACCAAACTGCTGGGAAGCACACCTGGCTGGACAGGGACATCACCAATGCACATGTCATGTGTCATGGAATGCCTTTGTAGAGGGTACAGCCAGATATTGCCACAGGTGCCTCAAGTACAGGATGGTGAGCAGCTGACAGAACTGGTTGTAGGTCCTAAGCTCTGTTTTTGCCAAAGAACTGTCAGGCCACTGAAAACTTCAAAGTGCTAGCTTAGGTATTAGCAATATCTGCTATTAGTTGTTCAACACGAAAGTGATGGGGCTGGGCCCTGAATCTGTGTGTACTTGGCTAGGAAGCCATCTCCACTGCAGCTTACCTCAGACACAGCATGTCTTAACTGCCAGGCTTTAGGATTCCTGTCTCCAATAACCAGGAGACTGGAGCCATGACAGCTCCCGTTTGAGTGTTGGCCCTTCATGGTACCTCTCCTTTAGCTCAAATAGTTAGTGTAACTGGTATCAATAATTCACTTCATTCATTTACCCAGTGTTCTGTTCTCCAGTGAGAGTGTCTGTTAAAGAATCCAAAATACACTGTGGAAATGAGGCACCACTCAAAGATGTCCCACCTCAGAGTCTCATAAGCCATGGCATTTTTCTCCCCTCAGCGTTCAATTTTTGAAAGCTTCAAGTCAATCTGTTCTGGCTGCAGACCCCAAAGCACCTAGTTAGGAGGCAGTAGTGGTGGGTTAGAAACAGGGCTCCTGAGAATCCAGGGTATACAGTGCTAAAAACCTCAAAGACACACAAGGGACCACAGACAGAAGTAGTACCTAAGGACAGCCTTTGAATGGCTCTTCTAACACGCTACAGATGGCCTGGGCAAAGGGTGGATGAGAACATGGTGCTACTTTACTCGGACCTGAATCTGCAGAGAATGAATCTATGATCAACTGAGATTTTCACAGGTAACCACTACCTGTTACTGAAGCTGGTTACTTAATGACTCTCACGTTGCTATGGAAATGATATCAGGTGAAAGAAATGCCCATGTGATGCTCACAGCAGGTTTTTCCAATTTGAGAACAGCAAAGGTCAATAGAGACCCTCTTTTGTTTTGTTTTGTTTTGTTTTGTTTTGTTTTGTTGGTTTTTTGAGACAGGGTTTTTCTGTGGCTTTGGAGGCTGTCCTGGAACTAGCTCTTGTAGACCAGGCTGGTCTTGAATTCACAGAGATCCACCTGCCTCTGCCTCCTGAGTGCTGGGACTAAAAGCATGTGCCACCACCACCCGGCTGGAGACCCTCTTTTACCCCCTTCCCTCCCATGCTCAGGAATGCAGATCTGCTTACCTAGAAGCAAGCAGTCTTCTCAGGAGAAAAGGAAGGTCCTGGGATGAATTTTCTATAGAGCCTTAGCAATCAGGGCATAATTACTGTGCATCTACAGCACGTAAGGACCAACTGGCCAGATAAGTGCTGGGAGAAGCTAAGTGATACAGGCCCCACCTTCACACATATCCAAATTGGAGCAATGTTTACAGGTAAGTTCTCAACCCATGGAGTAAAGGAACTGAAGAGCCATCACTTGGGTGGATTTACTTGAATGCTCTCCAATCTCTCCAAGAAGCAGCTGGCTGCTGCTGTCAGCCTCTTGTTTCTGAGTTTGGACCAGGATGAGAAAAAGAAAAAGAAGCTATATAATCTGAGGGTACCACGAAGTAGGAGTGCCAATTGTCTTCCAGGGTCCACAAAGGCAAGTATGACAGGAGCCTAGAGACTTGGATGCACCACAACACAGCCCTCTGTTGCTTCTCCCTGCAGACCCTGTGGATTGAAGTTGTCTAAAACACACAACTCTTGTGGAGTATGTGGTTATCCTGTTTTTACAGAAACCACCAGACATCTACCAAGACTCTTCTTAGCAACAGTGTGCACTGGTACCGCTCCTGTCAAAGCCAGGAGGCTGATGGGTCAGGTAATCTGTGTGGCTTCACAGAGGGCTTGCTCTCTCGGGGAAGGGAAGAAAAGTCTGTATGCCCCTGAGTAGCCAAACTAGGTACAGTTGGGAACCATTCATTCACCTGATCCAAGCCCTTCATTTTTTAGATAAAAAGAATCTCACAAGGCTGAAGGAGGCTGCCAAAGCTTACTGCTAAACTGAGTTTTCTTTTTACACATAGGTTGCTTTACAATGCAAAGATGTGTTTGTTTTCTTCAAGCGTTAATGTAGAAACCAAGCTCATTAAACCAATGTTGGACATTACGGGAGATTTTATACTAGGGAATTCCTTTAAAAACTGGGGGTGGGGTGGGTGAGAGATAGGTGGGGGATTGGGAGCACCTGTTGCTCTCTCTACTGAGGATCATAACTCAGTGACAAGAGCTCCTACTGATAAATGTGTGATGCTGTGGCTTCACCAGCACTAGACAAAAGACCACTCCCTAATTTACATCTTCTGTAAATGTCAATCTGAAGAGTTTCCTTACCTGGGAGTGCCTGAAAGTACACCGTGCCACTCATTCGAGTGGCAGGCAGGGAAGATGAAGTGCTCTCTGCTAGAGTGAGGCCTGCCAGGCAGAGGGTGTACAGAAATGGCATCCTTCATTCCCGTCGTCTCCCTCTTTCTCCATCACATGGTCACGCCTGATCATGTCCCATGGAATCTGGTTGCGTCACCTTTCTTGCAACCACAGCCCTAGAACTCGCATGGACTTTACTCCTTCAGAGGCCCGGGGGTCAAGGACTTAGCTTGTTTGACACAATCCAGGAAGGGCTCTGGTTCAGGAGCCCAGTTAGTCACATTCCTGCACTCTGTGTAGGAACAAACAGGCCTCAGGAGGGGACAGGCACCTGGTCACGGAGGTCACATGACGGAGGGGGCTGATGGGAGTCAGCTTTAGACCAGGTAGCGGTTTAGCCTGAAAGCTCAAAGAGCGGAGAGTCCAGGCAGTCCCTCCCCTGGGGCTCTCCCTTCAGCAGCAGCTTCAGGAATGTGGCCTCTCATTTAGGAGAGGGCAGAGGGTCTACTGCAAGCCAGTGCCCTTTTGATTCCAGCTGGACAAACAGAGCCTGGGGAATGGAGGTGAGGTCATCAGGTTTCTCAGAGGCTGGTGTAGGACAAGACAAAGGGCTGTTGGACCTGGGAGGCCCTGGGGACCTAGCTCTCAAAAGTTCATTACCTGCTCCAGCCCCAGCTCCAGAGAAGTGCCATGATCTCAGAGATTAAAAGAGCACACTCATGTTCCCAGTCCCTAAAGGAACAATGTTCCCCCAAGATTCCTCTCTAGGATTTAGAGGTACAACGACATGAACAAATGGCTACTACAACACTTGGCATTTGGATTTCACATGGTAAAATCTATCTCCTAAACGCAAGATCAACTTCTTTCCACAATTCAGAAAAAAACCAAAACCAAAACCAAAAACCTCTTCGATAAACCTGGCAAAAACATCCCTCTCCTGCTCTGTTGTGGGGGAAGCAAACCTGAGAATAGGTCAGAGGGAGCTGCAAACCCCCTTCCCCCAGGACAAGAAACTCCAAAACCAAAACAAGGCAGCTAAGGGGACCTTGCATGTTGCTGCTGTTGAGACTGGTAGCTTCATCAGTAAAAGGGGACTATACAAACTCTTTAGGCTCCATAGACAAAAGGATAAAGTGCCTAGCAGGAGAGCTGCAGTGATCAAGATTCAGTCCCCTCTCACAGTCTGTGTGCTTCCTAACACTCTACAAGGGCCCACGCATTCACTGAAACCTCGTGGTGGCTGCTCTCCTGCCCAGGGACGGCCACAGATCACTATCCTAGTAGTGAGATCTGGCCACCAAGCTGGACTGGGGAAGCTGGAGGAAAAAGTTAAGCGGGACTACTGGTAGAGGGGAGGCAGCCCTCAGAAAAACAGGTTTTTCCCAAAGAATAAAAACAAGCCCCACCCCAGGCAGGAATGGCTCCATTCAGAAGGGACCCAGAGGGCCAGAAACCCCCTGGGGAGTTTCTCTTGAAGGTGGGGTGGGGCAGAGAGCAAAGACAGACAGGTCAGAGGGAGAAAGTTTCACACCTTCTCAAAGGCCCCCAGAGCAAGCGCCCCTACAGATACTCAGACCTGGGGCTGACCCAGAAACTCCACTCATCTGGGAGCTAAGAAACCATTCAAGGCCAGGGCAAACGTGCTTGCCATTAAGGAGAACACGTATACAGTGCCTACTGTGTACCAGGCTACCCACACCCAGGCCTTGCCAGCTTTCAATTTGGCAAAACCTGCCCATCCTGCTTGTTGGGACAAATTCCTGGGCAGGCGGCAAGGCCTGTAGGTAAGACATGTGAGGGTTACAGAATGGCAACCCATTTCTGCCTTTCCCCAGAAATAGTAACGTCAAGGTGTGTTAGGAAGGGGAGCCCAGGCTTCCTAGGAGCTTCCTTCACCTCCCGGTTTTCAGGACATCGGGGTGCCCCTTTCCAGGCCGCTTCTGCTCTGGTATAAGCTCTTCTGGCAAAACCAGGAACAAGTGAAGTCAGAGGAGGACGAGGAAAACGGCGACCTTCGCCTCAGGAGTAGGGGCCAGGAGAAGGGATGAGAAGGAGGAGGGATTGGAGAGCAACTCACCTAAAGGGGTCTCTGGAGGTGAAGTACGCCGGGACAGACAAATAACTCCCCATCTTCTTCCCACACCAGATAAACAGGCTCAGCTGCAACCCCGTCTGGGAGTGCCTTAGGCTGGCTGCAGACGGCCACCATGACAGGAGGGATTCCCGGCACCTCTGTTTGGAGCCGGTCACCCGGTGCTCACCTCTGCCTCCGGAGCAGCAGGAGAGAGAGGACTCCAGGCCCCTGGCTCCCTGGCAGATTCCCGCAGGGGCACATGGCTGGTGCGTCTCCTCCCTAGTTTTCGGGAGCTCCGTGGCCCCTCGGGGCTGCGGGAGAAGCACCTCTCTTCAGAGGCTATAGGCACACGGGCATTCTGGGGAAGGGGCCGGTGACTAGCTAAAAATGAGATGCTGCTGTCAAGTTAGTCCCGTCCTTCAGTCCCACCCACCCCGAATGAGGGAGGGAGGAAGAGGAGGGGCTCGGGCAGAACCGAGGTGTGTGGTTGGAGCAGCTGTTAGGAAACAGACCTCGCCGCGCAGCGAGGGGTGGAGTCCGGTCGGGAGCGAGGCTGCAGGCAAGCGCGGTAGACAATAACTGGAGCTGGCCGATCGTCCACCGCACAGCTCAGGGCGGCAGGGCCAACACATCTGAGTCCAAATGACCCCCCATCCTCCAAGAGCTGCCTACCGAGACGTGAAAGGCACAGGGCTGTCAGCCAGCTTCGGCAGAGCTACACTGTGGGAGCGGGTGGGCGGGGGGGGGGGGACGACACCCCCCCCAGCAGGGGAGGCCGCTCCCTAGAAACATCTTCAGCTCTGGGCTGGTCTCTATTCTCTTCTGGTGTTGAGACTCCCATTCACCCACCCCTCTGCCTTGTCTGGGGACAGTCTCAAGAAGCTGTCCACTTCCACTCTGGGGTAGGTCTGTGCTGCAGAGAAGGAAACAGGGCCCAGAGTATGCATTCTCTCAGATGGAATTATCCTCACTTTATATTCTAGGAAAGTGAAGTGGCAAGAGATTAGGTGACTCGTTGATGGACAAAAGCCAGTCAGTGACGAGGCTGGGATCCCCAGCTTCATTCTGACTGTGTCCTCCCACTCATTCCCATAAGCCATTTATTGATCCAGGTAGGCAGTGGTGTTTCTTCCACCATGTCTGCACTAATTAGAGCCACCGGAGAAAGGGAAACTGAAGAATTACCTCAATCAGATTTGTTTGTGGCCCTGTGTGTGAGGAACTGTCTCGACTGATGATTGATGTGGGAGGGCCCGGTAGTTGAGTCTGGGCTATATAAAAATGCTGCAGAGGGCCAGGTATGGTCACCTACACTTAATCCCAGTAGTTGGGAGATAGCGGCAGGCAAATCTCTGAATTGGAAGCCAGGCCAGTAGACAGAGTAAGATTCAGGCCCAGGACTACATAATAAGACCAGGATGGCCATGAACTCAGAGATCCACCTGCCTCTACCTCCCAAGTGCTGGGATTAAAGGCACATGCCACCACCTCCAGCAAGATCCTCTATTTTTTTTTTTTTAAAGGCTATCAGAAAATGAAAAGAGCAAGTACTAAGCAGCCTTCCTCCATGGCTTATACTCCAGGTTCCTGCCTTGAGTTCCTTCTCTGGCTTCTCGGTGATGGAAATGTAAGCTGAAATAAATACTTCTTCCCGAGTTGCTACTGGTCATTTTGTTTACAACAGCAATAGGAAGGAAACTAGAATAGTGTCCAGTGGGTACTATACTTCTCCAACTGAAAACTGGGCAGGTGGAAGAGATGATGATCTGAGGCACCACCCAGGAGACCCAGCTGGGTATCTGGAAAAGCAGCACACCTGAAGAGCCCCAGGTGTGGGACTGACCAAACCAGAGCCTCATGAAGAAAGTCTCCTCTCCCCCAGTCTAGAGGGCTATTAAGGGAAAAGTAAGATGGCTAGAGGAGACTAGGGACCATCTAGACCTTGATGGATAGGAGGGCTGTGACACAGGGTCTTTCCCACCAGGTATACACACCTCCCCATTAGAAAAAGCCTTAAGTAACCCAGCAGCTGCTATCTGTCACTGTTAAGTGTGACAGGAAGGTCCAGGACAAAAGTGATCCCTAGGTTACAAAGGGATGCTCTCACATTTCTCCAGTTGGGTACAGGGACCATGCGTGTGATAAGAGCCTAGGTTTGTATCCGGACAAGGAGCATTTACTGAGTATGTAGTGTTAAGTGCTCACTGTACGTTCTCTACTGTTTTAAAATTACCTAGCCTGGCAGTGGTGGCGCACGCCTTTAATCCCAGCACTCAGGAGCAGAAGCAGGTGGATCTCTGAGTTTCGAGAGTAGCCTGGTCTACATATTGAGTTCCAGGACAGCCAGGGCTACAAAAAAAAAAAAAAAAAGTCTCAAAAAAACCCAAAACAAAAAAGCCTTTGTACCGAATACATGTTACACTCACTGAACAAATGACAAAACCAAGGTTCTGTGGGGGTTATTGCCAACTTGAAAACAAACATCTTGTCAATAGTGAGGATGGATCTTGATCCCAGTAAGAATAATGCCTCTATAGCAGGGGGATCAGAGCACTTTCTGTAAGGGGTTAGAGATCAAATATTTTAGGTTCTATAAGTCATATAGACCCTATCCCAGCTACTCAATATTCAACACCACAGTATCCTCAGTAAAATACAAACAAATAAATGCGGTTAGGGTTTCAATAAAACTTTATTTGTGGACACCAATACTTGAATTTTCTATATTTTTCTGGTGTTGTGAAATAGTCTTTGGCTTTCTTATTTGTTTACAACCTCAACCATTTAAAAATGTAAAAAAAAATCAAAGGCAGTAAAGAAACATGGTTAAAAAATGGCTTTGTGCCAGGCGTTGGTGGCTCACGCCTTTAATCCCAGCACTCGGGAGGCAGAGGCAGGCAGATCTCTGTGAGTTCAAGACCAGCCTGGTCTACAAGAGCTAGTTCCAGGACAGCCTTCAAAGCCACAGAGAAACCCTGTTTCAAAACACAAAAATGGCTTTGTGTGCTGGGTGTGGTATCTAGTAGAGACAGGTGCATCTCTGTGATTTTGAAGCGAAGCCAGACTGGTTGTCTTAGAGAGGTCCAGGCCACCCAGGCTGCAGAGTGAGACCCTGTCTCCAAAATAAAATGTACAAAAAAAAAAAAAAAAAAAAAAAGGTTTTGGCATTTGTACTGGATACTGAATTCAGGTTTGTGTATCTACCAATGCAGACAACCCTTGAGCTCTGGAAGCAGTGGCAGAGAGTGAGCACTGGACAGGCACTCAGCCTGCACCTCAAATTGCTTGCAACACTGTGTGAAATGATATTTAACCCACTATTTGGTAGTACTATAGCCCCACCCCCCCTTTACAGAGGAAGGAACTGAGGTACACAGAGGTTAAATTGCTTTCCTGAAATTATCTAACTGAACAACCAGGAAGGGAAGCCAGGATTTGAACCTAAGCTAGACAGTATAGGCTGTGCTACACCATGCTGTATTAGAGAGTGTAGCCTGGGCCCAGAGCCAGATTGTCTGGGTTTGAATGTAACAATGCACTCCCCTTAAGCCTTTGGCATTCAGTCTGGAACACATTAAGAGTTGATAAATGTTAGCTGCTAATATCATTAAGACTACTGTTCAACTTCTGCACTAGATATGTGGCCTTTAGAAAGCCCTGCCTCTGTCTAGGCTTTGGGTTAGGTCTCTAAATAGCTTCCAGCTTCAACATTTTTCATTCCTATGAGGTGCTGGTGGGCTCCCTGTTTTCCTTGGGTCTCCAGTTCAGATTTAATCTCTTGAGCAGCCTTGAAGAAATCAGGATCTTGGCTGGGGCCACACAAGAGCCATAGAGGAGTGAGATGGAGTGGAAGGGGGGCACCACGAAGGACACTGAGGACTGCTGCAGGTTGGCCGGCTGGAACCTCTTTTTCTCCCTGCTACAGAGCCCAGATGTTACTATGCTCCCCCATAACTCAATCAGACAAGGGGCGAGCCCCTATTTAAATCTGGAACTAGCATCTAATTGCATCCTTTGATTTCCATCTGATGAGTAGAGTGTAGATGAAAGAAAATGCAAGGCACAGAGGCCAAGGCCAGGGAGCCCCTGAGCATAACTCCTTTTGACATTTCACACGGCTCTGCTGCTCCAGTGGCCGCGGGCCGCAGTGAGTCGGTGTCTAGGAATGCAGGCAGTAGGCTGCAGGCCTTCTCCTCTTCCCTCTCTCCTCACAAAGGATTTGGTGGGTGGATGAGTGGGGAACTAAGAGGATTTCTCAGAGCCATGTGAGTGCCCCGCCCCCCTGGAAGTGCAGCAGCCTTCTCCCCAAGCTCTGGGCTGCAGCGGAAGCCCCTCCCAGGTGGAATCTATCTGACCCCCATAAATCTGGCTTTCAGGGGGTGCCTTCAGAGGATTGATCACCAGATGTACCGAACGGCTGGCTACTCAGATAGTGCGATTCCTTCAGGCCAACTTCAAAGGGTCCAAACCACTCAGAACGAGGAGGTAAAGTCACACTGCGGGATACACTTTCCCCTTCTATCCCAGACAGGTCCAAGGAGCAGCTGGGAGGGATCCAACAGTCATAGACGCCCAATGCAACAGCAAGGACCTTGGGACTGGTAATTATAAACGGATGGATAAACGGATAAAACGGCAAGATGGTGTTAATCTTCTATACATTTCCCGATTTGGAAACGGATCGCCCAGAACCAGCTGAGACTCCAAAGTGCCTGCATTTGGGACAGGTTGAAGAACAGCTTTCAGAGCTGATAGCTCGAAGCAATCACCCTGGTGAATAGTGGTGAATGAATGAATCACCACATCCTCTGCCTGAATGAAAGCTCTAGACACATGATCTGAAGCACAAGGACCTGTGTTTGCAGCTTGAGGCCCTCTGTTGGTGAGGAGGACTCCAAGCAGGGAAAGGTTGCAGCTAGCTAGCTAGCTTGCTTGCTTGCTTGCTTGCTTGCTTTACACGGTGTGGGTGCAGGGGACTACTGAGCATGCTGGGCAAACATTCCACATCTGGGTTAAATATCCATAGCTCTTTTTCATTTTTAAAGACAAATTTAAATTTTGAAATAGGACCTTACAAAGTTGCCATGCTGGCCTTGAACTCGATCCTCCTGTCTCAGCCTCCCCAGTAGCTACAGGCACAGCTGTCTGGAGATTTGCCTCTTAATTCTTGCAGCTAAACATAGCCATCCCCCCTGAGCAGTCCATCTCTCTGGTCTCTGTTCCTCCCCTCTCCAGCTCTCTTTCTAGACTTTGGAAGCACCTAGAACACTTAGAGCAGGCCCCAATAGTTTTATGTCAACTTGACACAAACTAAAGTTATCGGAGAAATTAAAACCACACTTGGGGCATGGTGGCGCTTGCCTTTAATCCCAGCACTCAGGAGGCAGTCTCTGAGTTCAAGGTCAGCCTGTCTACAGAAAGAGTT